TTTTTTAATGATTTACAAACTTATTATTATTATTACATTATTGTTATTATTTTAAATTAAATTTTAAAAATAAATGATAATAATAATAATAATAATAATAATAATTGTGAGATTGAAAATCGAGACCAATTGAAAACAGAGAAATTTGAGACTATACCCTGGATATAGTGTTCAACAAATTAATGTAGGCTTTGATTTTCTCTCGGGATATCACAGGAATCTGATTGGTAAATTGAATAGTGTAGGGCTGACGGATAGTTTGAATGTAATCAGAAAATGTCAAAAGTGGATAATCTCTCAAAACTGTGAGGCAGTGAAAGCTTTGCATAGCTTTAAATGAACATACATCTGATATGACATTGACTTGATATAACTGGGGAATTGCTTAGATATATAATGTATCCGCAATTTCACTTAGAGCAATACTTGTAAAACGAGTTAAAGCTGAAATAAACAAAATAATAATAATTATACATTGCTGGTCGATTGAATCGAACACAAAAGTCATTGGTCCCTTGCCATGTCCGACAACACGGCCGCCATGACTTGTGTCCTTTCATTCTCTTAGGAATGATTTCAAACCACCTATTTTTTAACTCTTCCTAATTGTATTTAGTTGGTTGTCAAAGTACATAATGATGATGACCCCACGTCTAAAACAATTGCTATCGATCAAACTTGGACATCTTGGGAGGTCTGCAAGAAAATGATGAGAAAGAATGATGCAGAACCAGATCCTAATTGGGTATTAGTAGAGAGACTACCTGACCTTTGTATAGGTAACATATATTCTCCTAAACAATTAGTAGAAAACTAGTAATGGTCTATCACAAATACTGCAAATTGATTGGCTAAGCTACTGTTGGTCTATTAGTGATAGTAGCGGTTTTGAAAACCAAAACAACGCAAAAATAGATTATTTCAACCTAATTCCAACATTGTTGTATTCATTTATTTGAAGTATTAGTTGGTTTGATACCAATACTATTAGACTCCTCGTCCTCATAAAACAAAAAAACAAAAAAAAACGGAAGTGATTTCATGGAATAGTCCTCTTCACAGTTCCCTGCGCCATCTTGAATGGTAGCCATGCCTTTGCATCGAAGTGAGACGAACGGTGAGTTTGCAATGATAGAGACCTTTTTTAAACACCTTGAACAATTATTCGCATGTCTCTATCATTGCAAGCTCGCCGTTCGTCTCGCTTCGATGCAAAGGCACGATTACCTTTCAAGATGGCGCAGGGAACTGTGAAGGGGACTTGGACGAGAAAACCAAGTCAAGGGAAAGACCTAAAATTAAACTCTACTCACGTGTGATACCGAGACCAGGATTCAAATGATCGAGATAAAAAATAAAGCCTTTTTAATGTGGTATATTTGTTTCTATTTTTAGAGCGATCGCTAGAAGACCACGAGTCTGTAGTAGACGTTGTGTCAGACTGGACTTGGGAGAATGAGAATCGTGTTGTCATCAACAACAAGAGAGATAAATATGCGCTGTTCAGAAATCCCCAGGTATTTGAAAGAGTCTTCTGAACCCTTCCCATTGAAACATCTGTTTATTATTGTCATCACTATCATATTTATTGTTGTCGTTATTGTTGTTGTTTTAGTTGTTGAGTGTTTGTTGTAGCTAGCTGCTGCTGGGGTTGTTGTTCCTGCTCATGATGCTGTAGTTGTTGTTGTTGCTGGTGTTGCTGTCGTTCTTGCATTGCTCGCTGTTAATGTTGTTGTTGTTTTTGCTGCTGTTTCTGTTATTTTCTACATTCTTATTGTTGCTATACTGATTTAGCTACTTCTGTTTGTGTTGTTGCTGCTGCTGCCTCCGTTACTCTTGTTATTGTCGCTTTAGTTGTTCTTGCTGCTATCAATGTTCTTGTTTTTGGTTTTCTTCAACCACTATTCATTGTGTTTCTCTGTGTTTTTACAGAATTATCTTCTTTCAAGCGATACTTCTGCTGGAGCTGCTCAGCTTGCAGAAAAGAGTAAAGACATTTTAATAGAGGTAACTCAAAAAGAAATCTTATAACATTGTTGTCTCCCTGTACTATTTTCTTCTTTCTTTTTAATTTCCTCTCTCCCTTCATTCCCGTTTTGTCTTAATTTTCTGATCACGCTTTTCACGATATAATTCTGAATTGTAGTTTTAACATTAATTTTTTTTATAACATTTTCACGTTTTCCCTTGTTTGCGTAACTGTCTCGTCATTTTTCTTTGTTTTCCCTCCTTCTCAAGGAATATTTTCAACGGGACACCATGAGGCTTCCAGAACTCGATGGAGTTCTATATTTCAAGGAAGGAAAGAAAAGCTGGAAAAAACATTACTTTGTTCTCAGAGCATCAGGAATTTACTACACTCCAAAAGGCAAAACAAAGGTTTGTAAAAATTGATGTACCTATTTGCTTTGTGCGTTATGTTCTTTCTATTTTAAACCACGTGTCATTCTCTTGAAACAGACCCTTTGCAGCATGTCGGAATGCAGCTCCATTTGGAGGACATAACGATAGGTTTCCAATTCTCATGAGATTGAAAATATTTTGTTTTGTCCTCCAAATTGAGCTGCTTTAACGTAACGTGCAAGGGGTCTTTTGGAAAACGCATGCCCAAGGTAAATCTATTCTAGCATAATGGTTACAAACTAAGCAGCCACGTYGTGCATAACTCTTGCTTTTAAGGAGCGATTATTACACAGTGCAATTTTCTCAGCAACTTGTCTTGCAACGACACGGCTAAAAAACCGCTGTGAGTGTTTCCCGTGTTCAAAATGCTTATATTTCCAAAGACTCCCAGCGTTTCAGTTTGACTTTGCTTGGAGATCGAGAGCAAGCAGATAAATCTGTAGACCCTATTGAATATGTCCATGGTCTTTGAAAGAATATTGACTTATTGATCATCATGGTAAACGATGCTGTTTTGAGGCAACAATATTTATAGTCATTGCAAAAATCGTTGCAAACCACCTTTGTATTTTGAGATGACTTAAGGTCAGAACAACATACTTAAGCTCAAGACTGTGATATTTTGTTCGCTATTTGTCATTCTACAACATATCAAATGAGCTCCTGAATCCAAGGATGAGCACCGAAACAATTTGCATTTTTTCCTTTCTTGTGCACGAAGCCTTCAACGAGATACCTGGGGCATTCGAGGGAAAATTCTTCGTACAATCAATAGTCCATCATTGCCATTCTAACCTTTCAAATATGACAAGATTTGCTATACTTTAAATCAAATTTATGATACAAATGGAATTATTTCAATAAAGATGTTTCCAAGTAATAAGTTGTAATCTTATTGCCTCCGAATATTTTCCGCCACAATATTTCC